GAGACACCATGGAGACGTAGCGGAGGCACTGGAGACACCGTGGAGACAATGTAAAATCACATGCAGACGTCATGGAAACACACCATGGGTGCACTATAGACATTATGCAGATAGCAGACACCATGGAGACACCGTAGATCACATGTAGACACCACGGAGATGCTACAGCCACCACGGAGACAGTAGAGACACCATAGAGACACCCGACGTTCACATGGAGACACCATGAAGACTGCAGACGCACCATGAAGACACTGAAGATCGCATGGAGACACAATTAAGACGCAATGTAGACAGCAGACACCATAGAGACACCGAAAATAACATGGAGACACCATGGAGAACATCACGGAGAGAGACAGTAGAGGCACCATGGAGACACGGAAGATCACGTTGCGAAGCCGTGGAGACACGGCGGAGACAGTGGAGTTGGGCGTGCTGTTCACGCAGGTGCCCCCGTGCCCGCGATCCGCGCGGTGCAAAGTCCACGCGGCCGTCTCGGCCTCGCTACTCGCCACCAACACCCCACACCCCGTCCCTCCGGCTTACTCGGCCTCAAACACTCACTCGCCCACAAAGCTCTCGGGCGTCACGTGGACAGGCCGAGCCTTCCGAGTTTTGTCCCCGTGGTTTAAATTTTATTCAATTTGATGGAACATCTGGCTTGCAACCACGTATGCCAGGGTGTCGCCTGACAAGCACAAAGCAAACACGTGATAGCACCACTGTGCTACCGGCGGCGGCGTAGTGGCGACAGACAAAGAATCCGTTCGTTCGAACGCCTCGCATAATAACGATAATCATTGTTAAGACGAGAGTCGCTGTTAATGATTATCTTCTTGCAATTGGTGTCACCACGAATCCATTTTAGAAATCTCACAACAGCTTTGCAATCATTAGCGCTGGAAAATGGCCCACAGAAGCGGTTATCACAGATTTGCCTCTGAGATCCCTTCAAGTGACCTCTAGTCCATCCATTAAGGGGGAGCACTCTCTCGCCCGCCCTGCCAGAGCTATGCCCGTCACCCTACAGTAAAACTCACAGGGGCTGGCTGGAATTTATAGACACACTTAAACAAATCGAGTGTAGAACTTTCATATACCTACGTGACTTTACCGAAAGAACCAAAGACTATGGATTCCTGCAGTCATGAAAGCTTCAAATCAAGGGTTTTTTTTGCACCAGTCATTGGTGACTAAGCCGAGGCCATCAATTGACAATATTTGAGGAACCTGGTTTTTAACCACAGGCGGCCGAAACGTGGATTCGAAGTCAGAAATTCGGCGACACCACCTCAGCGCTCCGACCTCCGAGCCAACCCAGGGTGGTGGGTGGCGGGGCAGGGAGCGTCGGCGTGTGGTCACAGGGCAAACGCCATCGCCCACCCACCCCACGTGCTCTACGCTCGGGGTCATTGCAGGCTGGCCTAACGTGGTGGGGGGGGGGGGGAGCACAGAAATCACAATTAATGCAATTTCAGAATCGCGTCGCAGTGTCACCAAATGCCACTGCCAGGCGCTCACAATGTTCCATCCGCGTGGGGGAGGCAAACCAGGAGCACGCACGCGCACCGAGCCTGGTGCAGGGATCTGAAAATGCGTGCCTCTTGGCGGATGGTTGCCAGAGCACTGGAGACAATGCGGCATAATTAACGAAAACGCAAGAATCCGCACGCTCCCAGTCTCGTTGAATTGTGTGGGTTGGCGATAATAATAATAATTGTTATTACCACGTTTTATTGGGCAAAGAAAAGGCGTCACTGTGTCTCAAAACTCTTTTTCAGGAGGGTCCTGCCAAGTGTCATATAGCAGGGGGAGCAAGCACTCTGTATTCTCCCAGTAATTTGTGGTTTTGATTTTTATAAGCTGGCAACATTTTCGTGCCGCGACGCTGGCACACAATGGCTTACCCCTACTTTGAATAGCCTCACGGGATCTTTAACGTCCACCGTCCACAGGACGGCAAGTGGTAGTTTTTTACTGTTCGTTACGCCCGCGGGCATTAACCGGGGCGGCCGCGGGTCTGGAACTTCGAGCCTCTGCAACGAGCGGAGAGCGAGCGAGAGATCCCTGGGCCTGCGATAGGTTTGAGCAGCAAGCAAAGCGGCACGCGGCGCTAGCGTGCGTGGGCCCACGAACGCGCCATCGGCCTTCGCGGCACCCACGGTTCGCACACGCTGCGAGCGTGACGCGGCACCAGAAAAAAACGCCGGTCTCTACCCCCCTCCGCCCCCGCGTGCCCCTATTACATAAGGGGACAAAAATGTCGTGAGCGAGTGCCTGTTAAGGCCGGCACTGGGGCGTTCATGGTCAGAACCGCCTGTGCCAGACCACCTTTATCTTAGCGCTGGCTCCATGGTGATCTCACACAGCACCGGGTGTGCGAGTTGGCTTTAGTCGACCGCAGGAAGGGAAGGCGGTCCCGCCAGGTTTGAATGAACTATTGGTGAAGTGAAAATATACGTCGGCATTCTATGTGTGAACAAAAAACACCTTGATTATGCTATGAAGGAAACTCTCTGCTATGAAGAAGGGCCATTGCCTAAAACGTCACCTGGCATATACACGTTTTCCTCTTAGTCGTCTTCACGGATGTTTTAGTAATTAAATAAAATATATACGTACCCCACTGCAAAAGTTTATCACATTTTTCAGGAATTATATAACTTCACTATGTGCCCTAAAAGTCCTGTGACGAAATCACCCAGAATGCACCCGATCTTGTCACATCGCTTAAATCTGCACAGGGACGAGTATGGATTGCGCTAGAGAGGGTGAATAACATGCCTGACAGGTTATACGAGATGGTTGCATTGTAAGTATTTATCCACACAGGATGATGAGGCTATCATCCAGCAGTGGATTGGCAAAAAACAGCTGTACTGTATGTGAATAAGTAGAGTGACAGCCGGATGTCTCTGTGGTTTAGGTGCCATATGACTTGATATGCTGTTTCAAATTCAAATCCCTGTCCATGGATAGACTCGGCCCATCATCCCTCCTTGGGTGGATTAAATCAGCAGCGCTTTGCAGGAATTCAGGAGTCATGGGACTGAAAACAGATGGGCATCCGCTCCACCAAACGGCCAGACTTGTGAGACCACTTCAACACGACGGTATATATACCACACACACACATCCCTGATCACCACAAGCAACGATGAACACGACCTGCCTTGCCACTGCTGCGGCTTTGGCACAAACTGGACACCCCTGCCCATTAGGAACCGCTCAGTCACTAAACGACACGCAATAAAAAGGGCTTCCAATAGTGCCGATAGATATATCTCTCTCACCCGGCACGGTACAAAGGTTTCATAACTTTGCCGTGCCCAGCGCTAACCGCGGTCCAAAGACCCTGGATACCGCCCCACGGATGAGCGTCACTGACGGGTCTACGTGAGTGACAGGAGTCAAGTTCACTCCCCTCCGTCACTCACCCGGCCAAGCGAACGTCTATTTATTTGGGGGCAGTGAAGAGTTGCGCCGTTGCGTGCATACCGCGCTGGGTGGTCGGTGAATAATAAATAGGTCAAGGCCAGGACCTGCGACGGCCCGGTTCGCGACGTCGGACTGTGCTCGTAACTTGCAATGCTAAACGACCGGTGACCCTGGGCTGTCCCACGGCCCTGGTTGACCGGAGTCGGTCAACCAGGGCCGTTCGACAAGAGACGCCCAGAATCCCCAACGACGTCGTCGTGACGGGAGACCTTTTTTTAAAAAAAAAAAAACCGGTGCAACAGAGCCCGGGGACCTGCGCTTACCACGTCGATTCCATTGCAAGGTAAGCCGGGTTTGAGGCTGTGGCCAATTGTTGTTATTACGGGTGACCGCCGTGACCAACGAGGTGTCGTGGCAGCTGCCCGAGACTACGTCGTAGGCAGCAGAGGCGGAGCAGCAGCATTGTTGGGACATTACTTCTATGCGGCCCCGCCACCCCCACCTTCACCTGAAGACGCGTTGACCGCGTGGTCGAGCGCAGTCCAAACATCCCACCACGATCGGGGACGTGCGGGGGGGGTGGGGACAGACACAAAAAGGGGCCGAATATGCCTGAGGCACTGCACCACGGCTAGCCACGCAGAGCCGTGGGCTCCGTTTGCCATTGGTAACGGTGCCCGCGCGCTGTCCATTGTGACCCGGGCGACGGCAGTACAACAAGTAGGTTCTGACCCATCTGTACATGCCGCTATTTGATTGGGGTATTAGCCCCTCGCAGAGCTGCGAGTTAGGGGTGCGATTCACCTTACTCTGAAATCATCATCATCAGCAGCAGCATCCATCATCTATCCACTGCTGGATGAAGACCTCTCCAAGCCGTAGCCACCGTTCACGACCATGCGACTGAACGATGCTACGCTTTTCAGTGCAAGTTTAGGGAAATCGCTCGGTCTGGCATTGACAAATCCATGGTCAATCCCGGAAAGCTGGATTGATCGTGACTTGTCAGTGACAGACTAAGCCCCGGATCAATCCAGCAGTGGATTGATCATGACCGATTTCCAACGACAGACTAAGCCACGAGTCCACTGCTGGATGGAGGCCTCCCTTTAAGCCGTTGCCATCCACCACAATGCCGCACGCATCCCAAACAAATCCCAAACATCACCCCCCCCATTCACGTCACCATCACGCCATGCTCACTCCACTGCTGGGTCACGGCCGATCGCGTCAATGGCAGACTTCAACCGTGATCAGGACAAGCGTTAATGGGGGGGGGGGGGAATCCCTTAGTCTCGCCACCGGCCACGATCACCGCTGGCCGAGGGCCGATAACCCCACTCGCACAGACGGCAGTCCCCGTGAACCCACTTCAAAGCGCTTTCGCGTGACGAGAGAGGCCGGCCCCCATGATGAGGCCGCATTGTCTAGGCCCGAGCAACGGGGGGGGGGGAGCCGCCCTGGCAAGAGAGCCAGACGGAGCCGTGGCGGGAGCCGGGGCTGCGGGGAGCTGGAGCCGCACGCTGCCGGGAGCCGCCCGCTGCCGGGAGCCGACCTACCTCCCCATTGCGCAGCGCCACGCGAGGATGATCCTCAGTAGCCGAATCCTCGCCTTCTCCCTGCGCCGACATCTTGGACTGGGAGGGGGGCGGGGCAGGGAAAGACCGGGGGAGGGGGTGCGGGGGCTTACAAGCGGGCGAGGGGCGGGGCCACGGGGCCTTATATGGGTCGTGGGAGGGGCTATACGGCGAGGGGAGGGGTCACGTCGCCTATTATGGGCAATAGGAGGGGCTATATGGCGAGGGGAGGGGTCACGTAGGATAATATGGGCAGTGGGAGAGGCTATATGGCGAAGGAAGGGGTCACGCCGCCTATTATGGGCAGTGGGAGGGGCTATATGGCGAGGGGAGGGGTCACGTCGGCTTATATGGGCCATGGGAGGGGCTATGTAGGAAGAGGAGGAGTCACATCACCTAATATGGGTTGTGGGAAAGGAGCTAAATTGCGAGAGGCGGGGTAACATTGCCTTATATGGGCCTTGGGAGGGACTATATGACGAGGGGCGGGGTGCGCATCGTCTTGTGTGGGCTGTGCAGTATGGCGAGGGGGGAGCTGTTACCTTCTATGAGCTGGAGGCGGAGACTATTGCACCTGATACGGGCTGAAGGCGGGATGATTGTCACCTTATTTGGGCTAGAGGGAAGGGCTACGTTACCTTATGCGGGATAGAACCAGGCAGGGGCTGTCACCTTCAGAATATTTATTTATACTGGAGGAATCCGATGAGCGATAACGCTCTTTTTGCACAGATATCCAGCAGGGGCGGGTTTACGATACAATATATGGGATTTCCGGCGGAGCTATGTGGCGAGCGGCGTGGTTACGAAGTGGGAGCGTGGCTCCTACGAATTGGGATATTTGGATCGTCTCCAGCAGTATGGACGGATGGCCCACTACGCATGACAGGTCATATCGGCGATTGCATTCCTGTTCAACACGTCGTAGGCTTTCGCGACCAATGTTATCCAGCACCCGACACAGAAGATTAATACCTACTATAATCACCCAGGAATGTCTGTCCTTAACGCTCGTGACGTCACTCCACATCGACCAGCCCCCCTCATTAATATTCATGACAAGGCAGTAGGAGTCAACATTGGGGGGGACCAAGTCTTCCAGGGGGTCTGGGGGTCCCCCCCACCCCAGAAAAAAATCTAAATCTGAAAACTAATTTCCTGCCTAAAATATTAAAAATTTCACTAACACATCGGATGGACTTTTAATTATTTTTTTACAATAATGTCTAATAGTGCATTGTATTACATTGCTCTGTTTTATTGTTTTTTATCTTGTATTGTTTCATTGTATGTAATGGCAGAGATTAGGGATTAATAAAGTACAACCATAACTACAATCATATAAACAGAAATCTATTTTATCGCAATATATTGGGGGGGGGGCATTTTAAGCATATTTGAATATTGGGGGGGATGTGTGTCCCCCAATATATAATATAATTACGGCCTTGATTCATGAGCAGGTGACGTCCTCCAAATGGACCCCCCCCCCCCATTTTCTTTCGGTAAAGTCACGTAGATAGGTTCAAAGAAAATAACAAAAAAATAACAAAAACTACTTCCTTGAACCTATCTACGTGACTTTACCCACAGACCCAAAGAATATGAATTCCTGCAGTCACAAAAGCTTGAAGTCAAGATTTATCCCCCCCCCCCCCCCCCCATTATTATTACCTACTATAATGACCCAAGAATGTCTGTGTGCAACGCTCGTGACGTCACTCCACGTCGACCAGCCCCCCTCGTTAATAATCATGAACAGGTTACGTCCTCCACATGGACTCCCCTCATTAATAATCATGAGCAGGTGACGTCACACCGCATGGCACACCCCCTCCCACCTCATTAATAACCATGAGCAGGTGACATCACTCCACATCGAACAGCCCCCCTCAATAATCATTATAAGGTGACGTCCTCCAAATTGACACCCCCCCCATCTCCATATATATAAAGGCAAAGTTGTGAATGTGTGTCTGTTCAAAATGTTTAGCGTACTTCCCGACATCCAACAAACTGGAAATTTGCCATGTGGGTACTTTCCAGACTGTACACCATGCAAAAATTATAAAAATAAACTTTTTTTTTAGTGGGGGGGGGGGGGGGGGAGCTCAATATTGCATATATTTTTTGCACGGCAAGTGAGCTGTGACGTCAAATCTGTCACGTGACCCTCGCATGTGGAAGCGTAACGCATTGTAGTTCATAGTTCATTTATTTGGTATAGCCCTGTGAGCCATTCGGCTCTTGAATCGGGTTCAACCGCAACAAACAAAAAACATGAACAAGAAAACATCTTAAAGTGATTATGTGACTGTGCAAACAGAAAATACAGGAAAAAAATATCAAAATATTCCTGAAATAGCACCGTACACCAACGCTGTGTGCAAAAATCCCAGTGGGATGCAAGTCAAATAACAACAACAACCACAAGACAACTAAGATTAAAGCCATCAGTCTAACTCCGTACTACAATTAACAAAAACATGGCCAAAACAAAAAAAAAACTTTTCGAAATCACAAAAATAAAAGCCATAAATCCAATGTAACAGTGATCATAGGAACTGTAACCGAATTTTTAACAATAAACTACATAAATAAATTATAACACCAAATCTAGAGCCATATTTTAGGCCACTGAATAGCAGTGGCAGCTAGGGTTGTACAACTCCTCTAGAGCAGTTTTGAGTGTAGTGTAGTGGTTAGCGCGCCACGCTACGAACCCGGCGACCCGAGTTCGATTCCCGCTCACGGCCACCACCGGTGACGATTATTTGAATCGGTCCTGGGCCTCCCCTAGGTCGACTCAGCCTCAAACGAGTAACTGCTGTGGTGTGTGAACATCGCCACTGGGAGACAAAGGCGGTCGGGCGTGGTGGATCCAAGTCCCAGTGCGAAGCCGGGTAGCACAGCAAAGTTCATAATTAGCGGCTGACGTCACTCACATGGGGGGCCGAGGCGCCTCCTCCCCCCTCCTCGGCGTCAACTCACAACCCTCACTACAACGGCAGAACCCTCACGTCACGTGATCTCCGTAACGCTGTTGTTGAGACATCAACGTAAAAAAGGACGTCATGATGAACAATGAAATAGCTCTGTCACCGCGCCCTTACAAATTGCACACGAATTCATGCAGTGAATATCACGTCTGATTTTCGCTTGCAAGTTTCAGAGTAAGGTTTGTCATAAACAAAATATGGTGCTGGTTTAAACGACACATTTATATTGACACCGATCTCAAAAGTAGTCCGAGCGAAACCAACATCGGACACCCGATGTTGAATTTGGTGATGAAAAATGATCAAGGGACTGTCACAAATGATCAAAGGACTGTCACAACACGTTCTACTTAGACTTTTTAATAAATGTTTTCTCCTACATCAGAGTGCAGCGCCACATTAATACAATGACCCTTGGGCTACACCCATTTAAATCCCTTTAAAACAGTCTGCCTCAGCAGCAGGCCATGCTTTCCCACCTGATGACGGACGCTTGTGTTGCGCCCGAAAACGTGATTTATTTTTTATTTCATACCTACGTGACTTTACCGAAAGAACTCAAAGAGTATGGATTCCTGCAGTCACGAAAACTTCAAATCAAGATAGATCATCGGTTGTATTGCAGATTGCCAATGTGGCTGGCAGGGGTGCAACACGGTGGTCAACAGATGGCACTGCAGCACAGCCACCCCACCTCACCCCCCACGCCTCGATGCTCCAGCACCTCCAGCAACCCGGACCGACGACCCAACGTGGCGCCACTTTCAGCACGGCGTGGGGAGGGCCCCCATCCAGCAGTGGATAGACCATGGGGTGCCTCAGCCTCGAGACACGTGGGGAAACTGCACACGCCAACAGCTGATGAGCAAATGCTATCTTGAATTGCAAGAATATATCAGTTACAATTTCTATTTGACAAAAAAATTAGTCACTCCCATCACAAAGGACTTTGAGTTGAATTGTTTATTCATATGTATAAATTGCACACATCACAATGATTACACACAGTGTATTCTGAGTGGTTGCAACAACGCACTGCAATTCAATTAAAATCGAAACATGTCAAATCGTGTAAAAATGTCGATTCTGATATATGCAGTCGGTTCAATTGTTTCCCCTACAGCCACTTCAACGTCGTTTATCACAACGATCTTAAAAACAATCAATTGCACGCAGGGCGCGGAGCCAGGATTTTGACTTTGGGGGGGCTGACTTCAATATCTGAGATATCCAGTGTATGTTTTCCAATGGGCGCCCACAAATGTATAAAACAATTTTTTATGGATTTGAACGCGGCGTTTATTAATAGGTTGGAGCCGCTGATGTGGCTAATAAGTTCGATAAGTTCAAAAGGGGCTGCCGCTCAAGCAGCCTGCAGGGCAGCACAAGGTGGCAGCCTGCAGCATTTTGCAGCAGCCGGATATCCGGTTATCCCGATTATCGACTTTCCCAAAATTTCAGGGGGGGCTAGGCCCACCCCAGGCCCCCCCTGTAGCTCCGCCCCTGATTGCACGCAACCTTTTAGAAGTATAGTAGTCCCTCGGTTTAACAGTGACATCGGTTAACGGTTTTTTCGGTTAACGTTTCGCCTCACACAAGACCCCATGGTTTCAACTGACGTTAACATTTTGATTAACGGTATGTTCACGTTACGCACTCGCGGGCACCAATTTCGGCCAATTCGAGCGATCGTAAGTGGACCGAGCCATACCCTCAGCCAATCAGCGACGCCGATTTATGAGCGTTTTGAACTCGACTGCCTTTGTTTACATTGTCTTCTGTTTGGCAGTGAAAAACAGGCTCTCTTGCAGATCTCAATGATTCTTACTTATTTGTTTCAACTTATCAGCGAGTTCGATTAACAGTTATTTCGGCTAACAGTAGTTTTTGGTGGAACGGATTCAAACGTTGTACGCGACAGGAACGGAGCAGGATCACATCGACCGCAAGCATCACGCTGATCTCTCACAAAACAAGGTGAGAGTGTTCCGGTGCCCTCTAAGGCAAGGCGGCACACCACTGCTCCAGAACCTGTTCCTTGCCCCAATGGACTGGATCCTGCAACGGAACGGTCACAAAGGCCTGCTGAGAGCAATCTAAGGCAACGAGATGCATTACCCGACCTGGATTAGGCAATGTGTGCCCTTGCCAGCCTGAAATGCTTGAAGGTTTACGGCTAGCACTGGAGATCATGCATAGTGAAATCCTCCCAGTTGGCCTGTAAATAAAACCAAAAATATAGACCACTGATGAGCAGCCACTCGACTAGACTGAAGAGCAAATAGCGGCCAATAATGTTGAAGTATTAAAAACGTTCACTTATCTCAGCTATAATTTGCAATATACTGGAAGATGCGAGGCCGAAATTAAAAGGAGAATCTCAATTACACGTGAGCATAAGAAACGGCTCGAAAGATACGTCTGGTGCTCCAACATAACAGCAACAAAGATCCGCCTCTACAACGTGCACATCCTTCCCATACTGCTGTATGGCTCAGAAACGCAGTCAACGACAGTGTCACTCAGCTGGAAGCTGGACACCTGCGACCGGCGGTGCCCGTGACGGATTCTCCACGTTCACTTCGGCGAGCACATCACCAACACCAAGGCCCAGGCCCGCCTTCAGACAGGGGTGCCCCCTGGTGTGCCGACAGTCAAGAGCCAGACGACTTTGGTTTGACGGACACGTTGTCCGGGCAGACACCTCAGCAGATCGCACTAGAGCCCTGCGCGTGACAATCGACGGCCCACCACGGGATTGGAGACGAACCCGGCACAGGCCATTGGCTGACACGGACACGTACGATCGAGGCTGATCTTCACCACCATTGCCTTGGCCCTGGATACAGTGTGGCGGCGAGCACAGGATAGCATCGCCTGGCGGCGTCTCATGAAGATCGCTACGCCCAGAGGGGTTTGCGTCTCATGAGGATGATGGTGACGTGACCGTGCATTTAATTGCGAGGCAAATTGTTCATACGCCTTGCGCCCACAACTAACACATAGGCATCGCTCTATTTGACCCCATAAACAAATCGAGATAAAAAATGTGTGTAAATGCGAATTGAACGTAACGTATATCGAATTAACTGCCCAAGTTATAAGTTACGTTGTAGTGAAATTCCGCATTTTGAGTTGCCGTATAACGAGGGACGGCTTACCAAAAACAAATGACTTTGACTGAGGCAAAGGCTCTAGGAGAATCGAGATCAAAGAAAGGCATTAGCATTTTAGCTCCTGACAAAGGCAGATCCACGGTTGTGATTTCCTGTTTGGATTATGATGACGAAATCAGAGATTTACTGAACTAGGGCACTAACCTTAAAAAATAAATGAGCGGGAAGACCACCGCATCAGCCCTGGTTGTCGGCAGAAACATTTAGCACTCTGCAATAGAAGCCCGTCTGCCCATCTTGCGTGGTGACCGAGTGGAAAAGGCAGACTGGATCCGTGGAAAGGCGGACCATGGGAAACATCACAGCGATATCACGGACGAAGCTGAGGCTGGCATTCACAGCAACAATCTCCGGTGAGCCTTTGTGGCCGTCGAGTTTCGGGCGGGTAGCAAAGGCCGGCCCTCGGAGACTTACAAGAACGGTGCGCCGGCCGTCACCTGCAGCCACGACGAGCAGCCATCGCGGTCTCAAAGTCCCTGTAGCTCACGCGCCCGTCTAGGTCCCGGTCGGTCTCTCTGCAAAACACAGCGCGGGTTCAAATAGCGGCATCTTGAGTACGATCACATACCACGACGGCCGTCTCAAAGCGCTGGCCGTATTTATTTTGAAGAGAGGCAAATCAGTCATCGGCAAAGGGAAAAGAGGATGGTCTTGAGCTTAGACTTGAACAGGAAATTCAGTTAATTGATTACGTACAGAACTAAATTTTACGTAATGTGGGACCTTCTTTAGTCTAAGTGTTAGTGAATCATACACAGGAGTGTCTCTGATTTTCCACTTGCGCATGAGTTCCATCAACTAACTACACTTGAGAACCCGGTGTAATTACAGGCAGCTGCCTAGATTCAAACCTAGGACCTCAATGGTGCCAGCTCAGCATTCGGACCTCTAAATCACCCCACCACATGCAGTGAGGAATATTATTTTTCATTGTGGGCTTTTGTAATGGCAATGGAAGAGGAAGGCTCACCGGAACGTCTCAAGGATGGTTTGCCCCGAGAGGTGTGGGGCGACGAGAGAGAAGGCCTTCCTGAAGTCCTCCACCGTCAAAAATCCACGGCCTGACACACGACAGCACAGCAATCTCTCAGAGCTGAACACACACAGCTCTGCGAACGCAACCGAGGTTCTTTATCTTTCGTAGTAGAGACCAAAAGGCTCGCACAGAGACCTATTTAGAGATATTCTGACTGAAGTGATGGAAGTGGGCAGTGGCGAGACTGTGTGGTACATAGTTTGAGATTGATGACGTAAGTCACCAGTCACACTGTGGGATCGTTTTAATTTTCCATCGGTTAACATCCCGCCACGGTGGCGAGATGTTAACTACCTCGCTTGATCTAGAGGAGGTTGTGGGTTCGATCCCAACCCCGACACCTGCATATTTGGAGTTTGCATGTTCTCCCCGTGGTCGTGTGGATTTTTATACGGGTCCTCCGATTTTCCCCTCCACATTTAGAAACATGTTTTCTGAGTATTTGGCTGTTATACATTTTCACGTGATAAGCCACTTCATTGAGTTATCATTTGTGGCCAGGTCGCTTCTGAAAAATAACTATATATCTTAGTGGCCTCATGTGATAAAATAAAAAAGTGTTCTAGTTTACAGCTGTGACTATTGACCCTAACGCGACGCACAACAACACACTGGGCAGCCCTGTAAAAACACACACGTGTGTGTGCACCCTAAAATAGCCATGCCAGCTTACTGCAATCAACTTGCACAATAGGGATCGCTAGCCAAACGTGCCCGATGACGATGGCTTTATTGCTAAAGAATAACACTGGTGACGCAATATATTGTAATGACTTAAAACTTTCATGACCGCGGGAATTCATATTCTTCGGATCTTTCGGTAAAGTCACGTAGATAGAAAAAATGTAAGTAAATAAAAACTACGACGTTTCGATCACAACACAAGCGATTGTCATCAGGAGGAAAAAGGGGGGAAGGCCGCTGAAGGCAAGTTATTTTTAAAGGTTTAAAAATGGGCGTGGCACAAGCGTCCTGGTATCAGAACGAAGTGGGCGGGGCATAAGTACCCTGTGGTCAGGGAGCACCATGGGTGCGGTACGAGAAGTTCCAAGAAAGACACGGAAGGTGACAAGAAAGAAACATCACACCCAGTTATGACTTAAAGTGGTTGATAACGTCCTTCCAATGATTGCCGGGTTTGTACTCAAGGACGTCATCAACCACTAACTCATAACTGGTTGTGATGTTTCTTTCTTGTCACCTTCCGTGTCTTTCTTGGAACTTCTCGTACCACACCATGGTGCTCTCTGACCACTTGATACCAGGATGTTTGTGTCACGCCCATGTTTAAACCTTTAAAAATAACTTGCCTTCAGTGGCCTTGCCCCCTTTATCCTCCTGATGGCGATCGCTTGTGTTGTGATCGAAACGTCGGAGTTTTTATTTTGTATTTACTTTTACTTATTCTATCTACCAAAAGATCCAAAGAATATATTAAGTAATGCACAAACTTTACAGTTTAAGACTATTATATTTCGTCGTAACTATGGATGTGACGTGAACAAATAACTTATCTGCATCTGCTGCCAATTGACAGCCTTGGTAGGACATTCAAATGCAAACTATCGGCCAAAAGGATGTACCATCACGGAGATGGAGTGATGAAATTGGCTCGTGTACAGGAGCTGGATGGATTGTTGCTGTCTCAAGTGTTTTTTTATACCACTATATAACTATGTATTTCACATGCACCACACAGGTTGGATCATGACCTGAATTTGATATTCACGCAGGTGAATCATCACATCTCTGCATTGAAAAGCTTAAGCGCGCCTCTCATCATCATTGTCATCTGATAAGAGACCCCACAGCTCTGAACCAGAGTTGGTCGCCATGAGGACACGCCGGGCATTGTGGGTCGACGCACAGCAAGTGTCGAACGCCGTGAAGATTCGTCGAGTTTCATCATCGAAGTCCACGGACGCGAGCCTCGTGGAGACGGCTCTCCGGAACTCATCAAAAGGCATCCCTGCATGAGGAAAGACGCGCAAGGGTTATGCCATTGTTGTGTTCGTGACGACGCTGGATTTACGCGCTCTAACAAGCACCAGGTACAATCATGCTTTATAAGTGTGCGCTTACCGGGTAGATTTTTTTCCTTAACAGACGCCATCAGGTGATCCGTTTCAGTCTGCAAACAAATGATGACATATTACTGGAACCCATAGCAATTATAATTATCTCATACACACACAGGCTTTAATCCACAAGTGGCATCGCACACATACACACACAGGCTTGGTGACACAAGACAAACATCTTCTATAGCAACACAGGCTATTGGGGCAAGTTCTGAAAGTGAACACCTATTAAGTCCTGCACAGTCAACTAGGGTGTGGTGTAGCCAGCATCATGGCCAGCCACCGTTGTATCCCCAGTGCTGATATTTGGTACACTGCACCAGATACTCATTTAAGGTTAAATTGACCAAGGAGAGGTCGAGGACCAGTTCATATATTCACCACCTGATTGAACCCAGAGGGAGACTGGATCACACTTGTGGGCTGATAGACTAGAATACACACACGAACTTTGAGCCCAACGACCCAAACAGGCATGATCCTGATACTGGCAAAAAGGAATCCCATGATATCGCTGCTCACCCCGAGCTATAAATGTTCAGATGAGTGCATTGCCTTTGTACTGTTCGCCTTTTGGGCATTGTGCTCTGCTCTGACACGGGTGGTGAGAGTCGGCCATAAAGAAGGCTGCTGTGTCTGGTGTAGGCCAATCAGTTTCCAAAACAATGCATATATTACACTGGTCTACAGCCAAAATGCTTCCGAAATAAATGTAGTCCAACTTTACTAATTCTGGGTCACTGAGAATGAAAATGATGCTTAAAATTGTTGAATGGCTCTAATTTTCAAGAGATACTATTGGGTCAGTATATACGACCATTGACTTGGGAATGGTGGAGGATAAGGGAGTTATAGAGGGAAGGGATCTCAATTTAAACCAGAAATGACTAAAATACATCTTTGACTGGGTTTGGACAGTACTTGTTTTATGAGCAAAACTATGAATGAGGTAATCTGAACCTGGTTTACACCCCTCTTCTGAACAAAGTGCCCTATATCAACTCTATAAATCATACAGTGTCACTCTATTTGTCAGTGTTTGATTGTGCAAAGGGACACATTTCTGTTTAGCCAACGTGAGCAGAGTTGCCTCGCACTTGTGTGAACAAAGCAGATAACTTCTGCTATGTTTGTGGTGAAGTGACTTTGCATCACAAAAGCGCAGTATAAACATTATGATTAAGAAAGCCTAACCCCTTTATTTTGGCTGCAAAATTGGAGATCAGGACAAGATGTGGGCCCCACACACATGCTGCAACACTTGTGCAACAAATCTTTGCCAGTGGTTGAACAGGAAAAGGAAATATATGCCTTTTGCAGTGCCAATGATTTTTTAGAGAGCCAACAGATCATATCAGCGATTGTTACTTCTGTATGGCGCTTCCAGTTGAGAAAGGTGTGTCAGAAAAAAGTGGAACGTGCATTATCCAAACATTCCATCAGCTATACGCCCAGTATCCCCCAGGGAGAAGGACTGCCGGTTCCTGATGCACCAGAATCATTCTCACTTGAGTCAGACGAGGAAGAGGATGACACTTCTGGTCCTGAATCATCAAGGTCACATGACCCAAATTTTCTCCCATCCTCCTCCTCTGAACCACTCCTCATAACACAAGGTGAACTGAAAGACCTTGTCAGGGATTTGAACTACCCAAGAGTAAGGCATAGCTGTTGGGCTCCAGACTGCAGCAGTGGAATCTGCTGGCAGGCGATGTTAGGGTTTCTATGTTTCGTGCCCGTCAAAAGGATCTCGTCCCATTCTTCTTCACGAAAGGTGATCTTGAGCCTGCAACATCGATAGTGGGATGGCAGCCTGCAACATCGTTCATGATCCAGATGAGTGGAGACTGTTAATTGATTCATCAAAGATGAGTCTTTAAGCTGTTTTGCTGCATAATGGTCATGCAGTCCATATGAAGGAAACCTGTGACAACATGAAACAACTTTTGAGGTGCATAAACTATGACCAACATCAGTGGCAGCTTTGTGGCGATTTGAAGGTTGTTGCTCTCTTGCTTGGTCTGCAGACTAGATACACAACGTACTGCTGTTTTCTCTGCGAATGGGATAGTCGTGCGAGAGATTCCCACTACATCCAGATAGATTGGCCACTCCGACAGTCCTTGGAGCCTGGGAGGAATATTCAGCATGCACCACTTGTTGAATCAAGGAAGATTTTGTTACCACCCTTACACATCGAGCTGGGTCTGATGAAGAACTTTGTCAGAGTCATGGACAAAACACAAGCAGCTTTCAAGTACCTCCGTGGAAAATGTCTAAGGTTAAGTGAAGCGAAGATAAAGGAAGGTGTCTTTGTTGGTACTCAGATTCGTGAACTTCTTCGAGATGATGCATTTGACATTGTACTGCGTGGCAAGGAAAAGACGGCATGGAACGCCTTCCAGTTAGTGGCAACAGATTTTCTAGGAAACAACAAGGCAGACAACTACAGGGAGTTGGTGGAAAACCTCCTCAAGGCATACAAAAGCCTTGGTTGCAACATGTCACTAAAGATACTCTCATCTAGATTTTTTCCCACCGAATTGCGGAGCAGCGAGCGACGAGCATGGCGCGCGATTTCACCCAGGACATTGCAACAATGGAGAAACGCTATCAGGGCCAATGGAGCCCATCAATGCTTGTAGACTATTGCTGTACAGTGACAAGAGATGGTCCATTTAATGAATATAAGAGACAAGCCAAGAAGCGCCGAGGAGACACTGAATAAGGACTAAAGTATGTACTTGTATATACAAAATAGTGTTTTGCCTTTTGTTTCATAATACATTTTATGTACAGTGAGGGGAAAAAAGTATTTGATCCCCTGCTGATTTTGTACGTTTGCCCACTGACAAAGAAATGATCAGTCTATAATTTTAATGGTAGGTTTATTTGAACAGTGAGAGACAGAATAACAACAAAAAATCCAGAAAAACGCATGTCAAAAATGTTATAAATTGATTTGTATTTTAATGAGGGAAATACGTATTTGACTCCCTCTCAATCAGCAATATTTCTGGCTCCCAGGTGTCTTTTATACAGGTAACGAGCTGAGATTAGGAGCACACTCTTAAAGGGAGTGTTCCTAATCTCAGCTTGTTACCTGTATAAAAGACACCTATCCACAGAAGCAATTAATCAATCAGATTCCAAACTCTCCACCAAGGCTAAGACCAAAGAGCTCTCCAAGGATGTCAGGGACAAGATTGTAGACCTACACAAGGCTGGAATGGGCTACAAGACCATTGCCAAGCAGCTTGGTGACTTTACTGAAAGAACCAAGAATAAGGTGACAACAGTTGGTGTGATTATTCGCAAATGGAAGAAACACAAAAGAACTGTCAATCTCCCTCGGCCTGGGGCTCCATGCAAGATCTCACCTCGTGGAGTTGCAATGATCATAAGAACAGTGATGAATCAGCCCAGAACTACACGGGATGATCTTGCCAATGATCTCAAGGCAGCTAGTCACCAAGAAAACAATTGGTAACACACTACGCCATGAAGGACTGAAATCCTGCAGTGCCCGCAAGGTCCCCCTGCTCAAGAAAGCACATATACATGCCCATCTGAAGTTTGCCAATGAACATCTGAATGATTCAGAGGACAACTGGGTGAAAGTGTTGTGGTCAGATGAGACCAAAATGGAGCTCTTTGGCATCAACTCAACTCGCCGTGTTTGGAGGAGGAGGAATGCTGCCTATGACCCCAAGAACACCATCCCCACCGTCAAACATGGAGGTGGAAAGATTATGCTTTGGGGGTGTTTTTCTGCAAAGAGGACAGGACAACTTCACCGCATCAAAGGGATGATGGACGGGGCCATGTACCGTCAAATCTTGGGTGAGAACCTCCTTCCCTCAGCCAGGGCATTAAAAATGAGTCGTGGATGGGTATTCCAGCATAACAATGACCCAAAAAACACGGCCAAGGCAACAAAGGAGTGGCTCAAGAAGAAGCACATTAAGGTCCTGGAGTGGCCTAGCCAGTCTCCAGACCTTAATCCCATAGAAAATCTGTGGAGGGAGCTGAAGGTTCGAGTTGCCAAACGTCAGCCTCGAAACCTTAATGACTTGGAGAAGATCTGCAAAGAGGAGTGGGACAAAATCCCTCCTGAGATGTGTGCAAACCTGGTGGCCAACTACAAGAAACGTCTGACCTCTGTGATTGCCAACAAGGGTTTTGCCACCAAGTACTAAGCCATGTTTTGCAGAGGGGTCAAATACTTATTTCCCTCATTAAAATGCAAATCAATTTATAAAATTTTTGACATGCATTTTTCTGGATTTTTTTGTTGTTATTCGGTCTTTCACTGTTCAAATAAACCTACCATTAAACTTATAGACTGATCATTTCTTTGTCAGTGGGCAAACGTGCAAAATCAACAGGGGATCAAATACTTTTTTCCCTCACTGTATATAACCCCTATTGCTGATGTTTAAAGTGTTACACGAACAGGACACGTGACATGTTGTCATGTAAAGCAACAATAAACACATGAAAAGACCTAAGTTTACAATTTATGAGTAAAAATATCCACACACAGACGTACAATGTTAAAACTCAAATATCTTGGGAATAGTAGCCAATCAGTTTTAATTATATTTGAATTCAGCACATCAAAATCCGTAATAAACAGCACATTTCATCTCTGAAACAAGACGACGTCTAAAAAATTGTAGACCGGTATTATCAGAGCATGTTTGTTTGCATGTTCACCACAAATACGTGTGGTTCATTGCAGACTTCATTTCTTGCAAAAGGTATCTATTTAGTGTTTGAACATCTTAACACAACACCTGTTTTCTTGCCAGAAAGGGTAACACCTATTCTTATTTTTCAAACTTTGATACTGACAAAAAGGTCCCATGATATAAGCTTCATCCCACACACACACGCAAACGGGGCACCTTGGACGGCTTGTACCCACAGAGTGAGAGCACCGCCACCTTGAAGTCCTCACGGCTCAGGTATCCGTCCCCATCCAAGTCACACTCGATAAACGTCTGTTAAATAACAGCAATTCAACCATTTTACTCAGCAGATAACAAAACGCATGCGGCACACTTGTTTAGTTCGAGAGGTAATCAACCAGTGCCGATGAAGCTATCACAGCCCTTAATCACTTCCTGAACGGACCACTATAACAGGATCGTTATACGCATTCGAACATTGCTCGGCAGATGCAGCTATCTCCTACACACCATGGTGGACAATAATATCCCGAAGTGCGACTGTGGTCAGTCACCCATTACAAACCACAGAGCGACGCCACTTGTCCAAATTCTAACATTTGCCTACAGCATTTCGGAAATTCGTGAGGCTGAAGACGTTCACTAGCTCACTCACCAACGTCGACATTAAAAATGTTTTTCTCATGAACTCCCCACCATAGGGAAGAAGATTGCAGGAACCATATGGTTTTTGGTTTTCCATTGGTTGCCAATCTCTAGGTCTCTTACTACCTGTCCCAGCAATTTGCCCTCTTCCATCAGTCACACTGCAGTACTTCATTAAATCTCGAGCCATAATTGGAAGCGGTCGTTTTTTCTACTGTAATCACGCAATGTCTCGGCCAGTCATTTGAGACTGCCCTGTTGCTATTGACTCAATGAAGCCTTTGAGCCACGTAAATAACTCATTGAAACAAGTTGAAGAGAGCTCATCACGGTCCACTCAGTCAATACCACCACAGTTCACCGCTTTCGTTGCTAGATCCCTCATCATCACCAGCCATGGTTTATTCACTGGAAGGCTCTCAAAGTCATCGCCATCGCTCAGGGTCGCACGATGTAAACATTCAGCGACTGCACACGAGCGGAATTCATCGCTCCATCTCCGCGGTGTTTTCCCGACTCTTTGGGCTGCCACTCCAGTGTTGTAAGAATCAGAATATTTATCCTGGAGGAATCCTATGAGCTAAACATATATTTTTCACAGACGTCCAGTTGGGGCGGGTGAGAACGGTACAACAAACAAGACAAGAACACGATTGGCGTGCAAATGACAGGAAAGGTAAGAGAATCACCAAATAAAATGTTCGTATCGATCACCATCATATTGACAATGAAGTTAACTAAATGGGATTTTATTTCGATTTAAAGCTTTCGTGACTGCAAGGATTCATCTTCTTTGGTTCTTTCGGTAAAGTCACGTAGAATGAGAATAAAATAATAAATTAATAAAATAACACAATAAAATTATCATGACGAGACAGTCTCGTCCCTTCACCTGATGAAGGCCACTTGTGTTGTGGCCGAAACGTCGTGATAATTTTATTGTGTTATTTTATTTGATTAATTTATTATTTTATTCTCATTCTACGTGACTTTACCGAAAGAACCAAAGAAGATAAATGGGATTTGGCAGGACATGGTTGGAAGGGACGAATGACGGCGTTTCAATGTTATTTCGTGTAACCAGGTGAGAAGTCGAGATACCAAGATGACTCATTTACGAGTGACCTTAGGTCATCAGAACGACGACATTAGAACAAATCGGAACACAACAAAACAAACTTAATTTGAAGCTTTCGTGACTGCAGGAATTACACTTTGGTTCTTTCGGTAACGTCACGTATAAAGAAAATAAATTAAATAATAGAATACGACGTTTCGATTGCAACACAAGCAACCGTCATCAGGTAGAACTAAAATTGAGAGAGAGACAAAACACAGACACGGGGACACAGAGACAGACACACGCAGAGAGAGAGACAACACAGACACACAGAGAGAGACAACACAGAGACACAAGCAGAGAGAGACAACACCGACACACAGAGAGAGACAACACAGACACACAGACACAGACAACACAGACACACAAGCAGAGAGAGACACACACAGACATACAAGCAGAGAGACAACACAGACACACAGAGAGAGACACACACAGACACACAAGCAGGGAGAGACAACACAGACACACAAGCAGAGAGAGACAACACAGACACACAAGCAGGGAGAGACACACACAGACACACAAGCAGAGAGAGAAAATACAGACACACAGAGAGAGACACACACAGACACACAAGCAGAGAGAGACACACACAGACACAAGCAGGGAGAGACAACACAGACACACAAGCAGAGAGAGACAACACAGACACACAAGCAGAGAGAGACAACACAGACACACACACAGAGACAACACAGACACACAAGCAGGGAGAGACACACACAGACACACAAGCAGGGAGAGACACACACAGACACACAGGGAGAGACACACACAGACACACAAGCAGAGAGCGACAACACAGACACACAAGCAGAGAGACAACACAGACACACAGAGAGAGACAACACAGACACACAGAGAGAGACAACACAGACACACAGAGAGAGACAACACAGACACACAGAGAGAGACACACACAGACACACAAGCAGGGAGAGACAACACAGACACACAAGCAGAGAGAGACAACACAGACACACAAGCAGGGAGAGACACACACAGACACACAAGCAGAGAGAGAAAATACAGACACACAGAGAGAGACACACACAGACACACAAGCAGAGAGAGACACACACAGACACAAGCAGGGAGAGACAACACAGACACACAAGCAGAGAGAGACAACACAGACACACAAGCAGAGAGAGACAACACAGACACACACACAGAGACAACACAGACACACAAGCAGGGAGAGACACACACAGACACACAAGCAGGGAGAGACACACACAGACACACAGGGAGAGACACACACAGACACACAAGCAGAGAGCGACAACACAGACACACAAGCAGAGAGACAACACAGACACACAGAGAGAGACAACACAGACACACAGAGAGAGACAACACAGACACACAGAGAGAGACAACACAGACACACAGAGAGAGAGAGACACACACAGACACACAAGCAGGGAGAGACAACACAGACACACAAGCAGGGAGAGACACACACAGACACACAAGTAGAGAGAGACAACACAGACACACAAGCAGAGAGAGACAACACAGACACACAAGCAGAGAGAGACAACACAGACACACAGAGAGAGACACACACAGACACACAAGCAGAGAGAGACAACACAGACACACAAGCAGAGAGAGACAACACAGACACACAGAGAGAGACAACACAGACACACAAGCAGAGAGAGACAACACAGACACACAGAGAGAGACAACACAGACACACAAGCAGAGAGAGACAACACAGACACACAAGCAGGGAGAGACAACACAGACACACAGAGAGACAACACAGACACACAAGCAAAGAGGGACAACACAGACACACAAGCAGGGAGAGACAACACAGACACACAGAGAGAGAGACAACACAGAGACACACAGAGAGAGACAACACAGAGACACACAGAGAGAGACAACACAGACACACAAGCAGAGAGAGACAACACAAACACACAAGCAAAGAGAGAAAACACAGACACACAAGCAGAGAGAGAAAACACAGACACAAGCAGAGAGAGACAACACAGACACAAGCAGAGAGAGACAACACAGACACACAAGCAGGGAGAGACAACACAGAGACACAGGGAGAGACAACACAGACACACAGGGAGAGACAACACAGACACACAAGCAGAGAGAGACAACACAGACACACAAGCAGAGAGAGACAACACAGACACACAAGCAGAGAGAGACAACACAGACACACACAGAGAGACAACACAGACACACAAGCAGAGAGAGACAACACAGACACACAAGCAGAGAGAGACAACACAGACATACAGAGAGAGACAACACAGACACACAAGCAGAGAGAGACAACACAGACACAAGCAGAGAGAGACAACACAGACACACAAGCAGGGAGAGACAACACAGACACACAAGCAGAGAGAGACAACACAGACACACAAGCAGAGAGAGACAACACAGACACACAAGCAGAGAGAGACAACACAGACACACAGAGAGAGACAACACAGACACACAGAGAGAGACAACACAGACACACAAGCAGGGAGAGACAACACAGACAGAGAGAGAGAGAGACAACACAGACACACAAGCAGAGAGAGACAACAGACACACAAGCAGGGAGAGACAACACAGACCCACAAGCTGAGAGAGACAACACAGCCACACAGAGAGAGACAACACAGACAGACAAGCAGACAGAGAGACAACACAGACAGACAAGCAGAGAGAGACAACACAGAGACACAAGCAGAGAGAGACAACACAGACACACAAGCAGAGAGAGACAACACAGACACACAAGCAGAGAGAGACAACACAGAGACACAAGCAGGGAGAGACAACACAGACACACAGAGAGACAACACAGACACACAGAGAGAGACAACACAGACACACAAGCTGAGAGAGACAACACAGACACACAAGCTGAGAGAGACAACACAGACACACAGAGAGAGACAACACAGACACACACAGAGAGACAACACAGACACACAAGCAGAGAGAGACAACACAGACACACAAGCAGAGAGAGACAACACAGACACACAAGCAGGGAGAGACAACACAGACACACAAGCAGGGAGAGACAACACAGACACACAGAGAGACAACACAGACACACAAGCAAAGAGGGACAACACAGACACACAAGCAGGGAGAGACAACACAGACGCACAGAGAGAGAGAGACAACACAGAGACACACAGAGAGAGACAACACAGAGACACACAGAGAGAGACAACACAGACACACAAGCAGAGAGAGACAACACAAACACACAAGCAAAGAGAGAAAACACAGACACACAAGCAGAGAGAGAAAACACAGACACAAGCAGAGAGAGACAACACAGAGACACAGGGAGAGACAACACAGACACACACAGAGACAACACAGACACACAAGCAGAGAGAGACAACACAGACACACAGAGAGAGACAACACAGACACACAAGCAGAGAGAGACAACACAGACACACAAGCAGGGAGAGACAACACAGACACACAGAGAGACAACACAGACACACAAGCAAAGAGGGACAACACAGACACACAAGCAGGGAGAGACAACACAGACACACAGAGAGAGAGACAACACAGAGACACACAGAGAGAGACAACACAGAGACACACAGAGAGAGACAACACAGACACACAAGCAGAGAGAGACAACACAAACACACAAGCAAAGAGAGAAAACACAGACACACAAGCAGAGAGAGAAAACACAGACACAAGCAGAGAGAGACAACACAGAGACACAGGGAGAGACAACACAGACACACAAGCAGAGAGAGACAACACAGACACACAAGCAGAGAGAGACAACACAGACACACAAGCAGAGAGAGACAACACAGACACACACAGAGAGACAACACAGACACACAAGCAGAGAGAGACAACACAGACACACAAGCAGAGAGAGACAACACAGACACACAGAGAGAGACAACACAGACACACAAGCAGAGAGAGACAACACAGACACACAAGCAGAGAGAGACAACACAGACACACAAGCAGAGAGAGACAACACAGACACACAAGCAGAGAGAGACAACACAGACACACAGAGAGAGACAACACAGACACACAGAGAGAGACAACACAGACACACAGAGAGAGACAACACAGACACACAAGCAGGGAGAGACAACACAGACAGAGAGAGAGACAACACAGACACACAAGCAGAGAGAGACAACAGACACACAAGCAGGGAGAGACAACACAGACCCACAAGCTGAGAGAGACAACACAGCCACACAGAGAGAGACAACACAGACAGACAAGCAGACAGAGAGACAACACAGACAGACAAGCAGAGAGAGACAACACAGAGACACAAGCAGAGAGAGACAACACAGACACACAAGCAGAGAGAGACAACACAGACACACAAGCAGAGAGAGACAACACAGAGACACAAGCAGGGAGAGACAACACAGACACACAGAGAGACAACACAGACACACAGAGAGAGACAACACAGACACACAAGCTGAGAGAGACAACACAGACACACAAGCTGAGAGAGACAACACAGACACACACAGAGAGACAACACAGACACACACAGAGAGACAACACAGACACACACAGAGAGACAACACAGACACACAGAGAGAGACAACACAGACACACAGAGAGAGACAACAGACACACAAGCAGAGAGACAACACAGACACACAAGCAGAGAGAGACAACACAGACACACAAGCAGAGAGAGACAACACAGAGACACAAGCAGAGAGAGACAACACAGACACACAGGGAGAGACAACACAGAGACACACAGAGAGAGACAACACAGACACACAAGCAGAGAGAGACAACACAGAGACACAAGCAGGGAGAGACAACACAGACACACAGAGAGACAACACAGACACAGAGAGAGAGACAACACAGACACACAGAGAGAGACAACACAGACACACAAGCTGAGAGAGACAACACAGACACACAGAGAGACAACACAGACACACAAGCAGGGAGAGACAACACAGACACACAAGCAGAGAGAGACAACACAGACACACAAGCAGAGAGAGACAACACAGACAGACAAGCAGACAGAGAGACAACACAGACAGACAAGCAGAGAGAGACAACACAGAGACACAAGCAGAGAGAGACAACACAGACACACAAGCAGAGAGAGACAACACAGACACACAAGCAGAGAGAGACAACACAGAGACACAAGCAGGGAGAGACAACACAGACACACAGAGAGACAACACAGACACACAGAGAGAGACAACACAGACACACAAGCTGAGAGAGACAACACAGACACACAAGCTGAGAGAGACAACACAGACACACACAGAGAGACAACACAGACACACACAGAGAGACAACACAGACACACACAGAGAGACAACACAGACACACAGAGAGAGACAACACAGACACACAGAGAGAGACAACAGACACACAAGCAGAGAGACAACACAGACACACAAGCAGAGAGAGACAACACAGACACACAAGCAGAGAGAGACAACACAGAGACACAAGCAGAGAGAGACAACACAGACACACAGGGAGAGACAACACAGAGACACACAGAGAGAGACAACACAGACACACAAGCAGAGAGAGACAACACAGAGACACAAGCAGGGAGAGACAACACAGACACACAGAGAGACAACACAGACACAGAGAGAGAGACAACACAGACACACAGAGAGAGACAATACAGACACACAAGCTGAGAGAGACAACACAGACACACAGAGAGACAACACAGACACACAAGCAGGGAGAGACAACACAGACACACAAGCAGAGAGAGACAACACAGACACACAAGCAGAGAGAGACAACACAGACACACAGAGAGAGACAACACAGACACACAAGCAGAGAGAGACAACACAGACACACAAGCAGAGAGAGACAACACAGACACACAAGCAGAGAGAGACAACACAGACACACAAGCAGAGAGAGACAACACAGACACACAGAGAGACAACACAGACACACAGAGAGACAACACAGACACACACAGAGAGACAACACAGACACACAGAGAGAGACAACACAGACACAGAGAGAGACAACACAGACACACAAGCAGAGAGACAACACAGACACACAAGCAGAGAGAGACAACACAGACACACAAGCAGAGAGAGACAACACAGACACACAAGCAGAGAGAGACAACACAGAGACACTCTCAGTGTGTCCACCGCGGAGACGGAGCGATGTGTGTAGTTGCCAGGTGGCTTGGCGCTGGCGACGGACCGTGAACTCGCCCACCTGAGTTCGAGTTCCGGGCCACGACTCTCAACTCAGGAGCGGGCTTCTTCCCTGGGCCATTCGCTTCACCAAGCCGCACTGACCGGCGTGGTGGAGGACGGTCAAACAGCCCACTGTGACCGACACGGCGCGAGAAGGCCTTCGTCCAGCAGTGGACGGACCATGGCTGCTGAATTAAGACGAATCATCGCATCGCCACGGGTCTCCAAAGCCTCACGGCAGCTGCGTCAAGAAACCCAAGAATCGCGCGTTGCCATGGCGACTACGCGGCCTTGCCGTACCCGTCGAAGCCTCTCCGCCCCGGCGCCTCCCCTCCGAGCCGCGCTCCTCGCTCCATCGCGGGGAGCCGCGCCCTTGACGCCGTCTCCCCGAGCCGCGCTCTGCTCGCCGAGCCCCGGGACGCGGCTCCCGCGGAGAGGAATCGGCGGGGACCGAGGCGCGTCCGCAACTGCCATCGTCGCCGCCGCCGCGAGAGTTCTCTCCACCGCCACGCGCGCTGATTGGGCCGTTGGGATTCACCGACTGAGCAAGCGCCACTGTGATTGGCCCTGATAGCCCCTTTTCAAAAAGGGGCGGGGTGTAGAACTCCTCACGCCTGATGTCAACTCCCGATCACTTGAATTGCGCGGCATGGGCGGGAAGTCCCTATACCCCATCCCCATTGAAGACAACGGGAATCGCTGCGCTAAGGGGTGTAGGGACTTCCCGACCTGAAGACGATACGACCAAATGAAGCCAATCTCCACTGCTGGACACAATTCCTCAGCTTGCTTGTTTCTCGTCACGTTATCCGCAAGTGGTAGTTGTCACTTTGCGCTAATTTCGCGTCAAACTTAACATATTGCGCAATAACACCCAAATCGGGTAAAACATTTTTCTTATTTTTCATACTCTGATAGTGGCGTAACAATGTCCCATTATAGTGGTTTACTCTGTAGTCTGTATAGTAGGAATAAACGAGTGTAGCTCACGAAGAGAAAGTCACCAAGGATAATAATAGTAGCGATAGAGTTAGGGGCCGTCCATAAATGACGTCACGCGATTTTTGACGATTTTTGACCCCCCCCCACCCTCGTCACACGGCGTCACAAAAAGTCAGACCCCCCCCCCGCCTCAAATATGACGTCACAAAGCTCTGCCCCCCCCCAAACCATATTTCCATTTTGAAAATAAAACATGCTTCAAATCGCTTTAAACTATTATCATTGTAGCGCGTATTTAATGTGGCGCTGCACTCTGATGTTGAAGGAGAAAACATTTATTAAAAAGTATATTTCATTAAGTAGAACGTGTTGTCTGTATTTATTTAAAGTTGCGCATTTTGATGTGACGTCAAATTTCTAAAACCCTAGGTGCGTGACGTCATTTGTGGACGGCCCCTTATATGGAGGTGGCTGACCACCCACTGCAGCTTCCGGCACCGCCCAACCAAAAATGTTGAGCCACCCAATCCTGCTACAGGTGTCGGTGGGATGTTCCATCACTCTCACGGGGAGAAGGGGGTGACCCCAGCTTGTGTACTTTATGTAAGTTTAAGTTTCGCTCAAAACACATCTTGTTCGAGTAAACGAACAGCAATTGTAAAATAGCAATTCGTCTGGATCAGCTGCAAAAGATACCCCGGCAGTAGCCCTGTAACACATCCCTCCCCCGTCGAACATCAATGGCGCCCACCCCCCTGTACCCACCCCCGTCACGCGGAGTGGTAGAGTCCGGGATGCGTTCAAGTGGAGGACTCCCCGGGGCTAAGGGCGGCCACCCAGCTCACTCAGCGCCTTCCTCAGCGCAGTAGCAGCAGCAACAACAACAACAGCAGCAACAACAGCAACAACAACAGCAGCATCAGCAAGCAAAGCGAAGCGATCCAAGCGGACAGACCCCGGCCAGCGGAATGGTGAGTGGCAAACACGTTGCTGGGCAAGCTACCAGGGCGGGAAGCTGCAGCCTGTAACAGACTGTAAGGGCAAGTGCCAATTAGCGAGCACCTACGAAGGCCGGCACGGCACACGAGGAGTGTGGGGTGGCCAACACCACGCCCGGTCGCCTTTGTCTTCCCAGTCGCACCGGGTACTCATTTTGAGGCTGAGTCGACCTAGGGGAGGCCCAGGAGCGGTTCAGATAATCGTCAATGGCTGTGGGCCGTGAGCGGGCGGTGTGGATGGTGGGTGATTAGCAGCGGCGTGGAATTTCCAGCACTTTATTAAGCCTCGTTAAAGGAGTACGCTAGATTGGTCGTTTTTGCGTCGCTTGCCGCATGTTTGAACACGTCTTCATACCCCGGGGAACTTTTGATTCGTGTTGCGCAATTGCTTATTTACTTGTAAAATTGTGGGGGGTGGGGTATGGGATGTTGGGAGCGATTCTTCCGCTATATATATTTTTTTGGGGGGGTGGGGGGTAGAGAGACATGTTTATGTACACAGCAGGCGAACGCAGTGTCACGCGCACACACACACAGAGAGCCCAAATCACACCTCCCTAGCACGCCTCGATCCAGAGAGCATTGCTACGGTCACAAGACGTCCTGTGTGAGATGTGGAGACAGCTTGAGGAGATGTAGAGACAGACAGCTTGAGAGACAGGGAGACAGCTTGAGAGACAGGGAGACAGACAGCTTGAGAGACAGGGAGACAGACAGCTTGAGAGACAGGGAGACAGACGGCTTGAGAGACAGACAGCTTGAGAGACAGGGAGACAGCTTGAGAGACAGGGAGACAGACAGCTTGAGAGACGGGGAGACAGACAGCTTGAGAGACGGGGAGACAGACAGCTTGAGAGACGGGGAGACAGACAGCTTGAGAGACAGGGAGACAGCTTGAGAGACAGGGAGACAGACAGCTTGAGAGACAGGGAGACAGACAGCTTGAGAGACAGGGAGACAGACAGCTTGAGAGACAGGGAGACAGACAGCTTGAGAGACAGGGAGACAGACAGCTTGAGGAGATGGAGAGACAGACAGCTTGAGAGACGGGGAGACAGACAGCTTGAGAGACAGGGAGACAGACAGCTTGAGAGACAGGGAGACAGACAGCTTGAGAGACGGGGAGACAGCTTGAGAGACGGGGAGACAGACAGCTTGAGAGACGGGGAGACAGACAGCTTGAGAGACGGGGAGACAGCTTGAGAGACGGGGAGACAGACAGCTTGAGAGACGGGGAGACAGACAGCTTGGGAGACGGACAGCTTGAGAGACAGGGAGACGGACAGCTTGAGAGACAGGGAGACGGACAGCTTGAGAGACGGGGAGACAGACAGCTTGAGAGACGGGGAGACAGCTTGAGAGACGGGGAGACAGACAGCTTGAGAGACGGGGAGACAGACAGCTTGGGAGACGGACAGCTTGAGAGACAGGGAGACGGACAGCTTGAGAGACAGGGAGACGGACAGCTTGAGAGACGGGGAGACGGACAGCTTGAGAGACGGGGAGACAGACAGCTTGAGAGACGGGGAGACATCTTGAGAGACAGGGAGACATCTTGAGAGACAGGGAGACATCTTGAGAGACAGGGAGACATCTTGAGAGACAGGGAGACGGACAGCTTGAGAGACAGGGAGACGGACAGCTTGAGAGACAGGGAGACAGACGGCTTGAGAGACAGGGAGACAGACAGCTTTAGAGACAAGGAGACATACAGCTTGAGAGACAAGGAGACAGCTTGAGAGACAGGGAGACGGACAGCTTGAGAGACAGGGAGACAGCTTGAGAGACAGGGAGACAGACAGCTTGAGAGACAGGGAGACAGACAGCTTGAGAGACAGGGAGACAGACGGCTTGAGAGACAGGGAGACAGACAGCTTGAGAGACAGGGAGACAGACAGCTTGAGGAGATGGAGAGACAGACAGCTTGAGAGACAGGGAGACATAGGAATAGGTTTTACCCTTTTAACTGGCACACAAAAAATTGACACCTTTATTCAAGGCATCATGTTTGCTATAACTACAACACAAGCAGTCAAAATGCAAACAAAAAAGACAACTCTGATCATAATATTGGCACTGTCCTTGAATTTGATTGGTCCACACCCGAGACGGCTTTTCTTAGAGCCTAGTCTCCATTGGTGTTGGACCAGAAGACGCCAAAAGGCGTACAACTCAAAAACAGCGCACTATCAGAGTATTGAGGGCTCGGGTGAGCATTTACATTATGAGACCTCCTTTGCCAGTTACAAGATATAGGAATAGGTTTTACCCTTTTAACTGGCACAATCAAATTCAAGGACAGTGCATATTATTATCAGAGTTGTCTTTTTTGTTTGCATTTTGACTGCTTGTGTTGTGGTTATAGCAGACATGATGCCTTGAATAAAGGTGCCACTTAAAAGGGTAAAACCTATTCCTATATCTTGTTACTAGCAAAGGAGGTCTCATAATGTAAATAGACAGGGAGACAGCTTCAGAGATAGGGAGACAGCTTGAGAGACAGGGAGACAGACAGCTTGAGGAGATGGAGAGACAGACAGCTTGAGAGATAGGGAGACAGCTAGCTTGAGAGACAGGGAGACAGACAGCTTGAGAGACAGGGAGACAGACAGCTTAAGAGACAGGGAGACAGACAGCTTGAGGAGATGGAGAGACAAACAGCTTGACAGACAGGGAGACAGACAGCTTGAGAGACAGGGGGACAGCTTGAGAGACGAGGAGACAGACAGCTTGAGAGACGAGGAGACAGACAGCTTGAGAGACAAGGAGACAGACAGCTTGAGGAGATGGAGAGACAGACAGCTTGAGAGACAGGGAGACAGCTTAAGAGACGGGGAGACAGACAGCTTGAGAGACAGGGAGACAGACAGCTTGAGAGACGGGGAGACAGATGGCTTGAGAGACGGGGAGACAGACAGCTTGAGAGACAGGGAGACGGACAGCTTGAGAGACAGGGAGACAGACAGCTTAAGAGACAGGGAGACAGACAGCTTGAGGAGATGGAGAGACAAACAGCTTGACAGACAGGGAGACAGACAGCTTGAGGAGATGGAGAGACAAACAGCTTGACAGACAGGTAGACAGACAGCTTGAGAGACAGGGGGACAGCTTGAGAGACGAGGAGACAGACAGCTTGAGAGACAGGGAGACAGACAGCTTGAGGAGATGGAGAGACAGACAGCTTGAGAGACAGGGAGACAGCTTAAGAGACGGGGAGACAGACAGCTTGAGAGACAGGGAGACAGACAGCTTGAGAGACGGGGAGACAGATGGCTTGAGAGACGGGGAGACAGACGGCTTGAGAGACGGGGAGACAGACAGCTTGAGAGACGGGGAGACAGACAGCTTGAGTGAGAGACAGGGAGACAGACAGCTTGAGAGACAGGGAGACAGACAGCTTGAGAGACGGGGAGACAGACAGCTTGAGAGACAGGGAGACAGCTTGAGAGACAGGGAGACAGACAGCTTGAGAGACAGGGAGACAGACAGCTTGAGAGACGGGGAGACAGCTTGAGAGACAGGTAGACAGACAGCTTGAGAGACGGGGAGACAGCTTGAGAGACAGGGAGACAGCTTGAGAGACGGTGAGACAGACAGCTTGAGAGACACGGAGACAGCTTGAGAGACGGGGAGACAGACAGCTTGAGAGACAGGGAGACAGACGGCTTGAGAGACGGGGAGACAGACAGCTTGAGAGACGGGGAGACAGACAGCTTGAGAGACGGGGAGACAGACAGCTTGAGAGACGGGGAGACAGACAGCTTGAGAGACGGGGAGACAGACAGCTTGAGAGACGGGGAGACGGACAGCTTGAGAGACGGGGAGACGGACAGCTTGAGAGACGGGGAGACGGACAGCTTGAGAGACGGGGAGACGGACAGCTTGAGAGACGGGGAGACAGACAGCTTGAGAGACGGGGAGACAGACAGCTTGAGAGACGGGGAGACAGACAGCTTGAGAGACGGGGAGACAGACAGCTTGAGAGATAGCGAGACAGACAGCTTGAGAGACAGCGAGACAGACAGCTTGAGAGACGGGGAGACAGACAGCTTGAGAGACGGGGAGACAGACAGCTTGAGAGACGGGGAGACAGACAGCTTGAGAGACAGGGAGACAGAGAGCTTGAGAGACAGGGAGACAGACAGCTTGAGAGACGGGGAGACAGATAGCTTGAGAGACAGGGAGACAGACAGCTTGAGAGACAGGTAGACAGACAGCTTGAGAGACAGGGAGACAGACAGCTTGAGAGTTTGAGGGACATACAGCTTGAGAGTTTGGGGAACAGACAGCTTGAGAGACAGGGAGACAGCTTGAGAGACAGGGAGACAGACAGCTTGAGAGACAGGGAGACAGACAGCTTGAGAGACGGGGAGACAGATAGCTTGAGAGACAGGGAGACAGACAGCTTGAGAGACAGGTAGACAGACAGCTTGAGAGACAGGGAGACTGACAGCTTGAGAGTTTGAGGGACATACAGCTTGAGAGACAGGGAGACAGCTTGAGAGACAGGGAGACAGACAGCTTGAGAGTTTGGGGGACAGACAGCTTGAGAGTTTGGGGAACAGACAGCTTGAGAGACAGGGAGACAGCTTGAGAGACGGGGAGACAGACAGCTTGAGAGACGGGGAGACGGACAGCTTGAGAGACGGGGAGACGGACAGCTTGAGAGACGGGGAGACGGACAGCTTGAGAGACGGGGAGACGGACAGCTTGAGAGACGGGGAGACGGACAGCTTGAGAGACGGGGAGACAGACAGCTTGAGAGACGGGGAGACAGACAGCTTGAGAGACGGGGAGACAGACAGCTTGAGAGATAGCGAGACAGACAGCTTGAGAGACAGCGAGACAGACAGCTTGAGAGACGGGGAGACAGACAGCTTGAGAGACGGGGAGACAGACAGCTTGAGAGACGGGGAGACAGACAGCTTGAGAGACAGGGAGACAGAGAGCTTGAGAGACAGGGAGACAGACAG